CCAACATACAAAGCTACAGTTACTGAGAACTCACCTAAAGGAACAGTTGTTGCCACTGTTACAGCCTCAGATGCGGATGAAGGTTCGCACGGTAAAATCACATATTCAATCACGAATGCATTAGATGACGTCAGTAAAGTGTTTGAGGTAAATGAGGAAAACGGTGAAGTAACAGTAATTGGAAATATTGACTTTGAAGAGTCGCGAAACTATGAAATAAATTTACTCGCTAGTGATGAGGGAGGACTCACAGATTCTTGTAAATTGTTTGTGGATGTGCAAGATGTAAATGATAACAAGCCTGAAATCAACATAATGTCAAAATCAAATGTGATATCAGAGGATTCCAGCGTAAATACAGTTGTTACAATGATAAACATTGACGACAAGGACTCAGGAGAAAACGGAAACGTGAAATGTTTTATCAACGAAGACATACCTTTCAATTTAAAGGCATCAACAAATAATTTCTATAGCTTAGTGACAGACAGTGATCTGGACAGAGAGAGATCCTCTGAGTATAATATAACAGTGACGTGTTCTGATGAGGGAGTGCCCTCCCTCTCCAGCAGCGTCACTCTCACCTTACAGATCTCTGATGTGAATGATAACGCGCCTGTCTTTGAGAGGAGCTCATATGAGGCCTACATTGTAGAAAACAACACACCAGGCCTCTCTATATTCACAGTGAAAGCCAGAGACGCTGACTGGAACCAGAATGCCCGTGTTTCTTACATACTGGAGGACTCCTCTGTTAACGGAGTGCCAGTCTCCTCATATGTGTCCGTCAGTGCTGATAGTGGAGTCATCCATGCAGTGCGCTCTTTTGACTACGAGCAGATCAAAGACTTCCACTTCCGCGTCAAAGCGCAGGATGGAGGCTCCCCTCCACTCAGTAGCAACGTGAGTGTGAAAATACTGATCCAGGACCAGAACGACAACCCTCCTCAGGTGCTGTACCCAGTGCAGACTGGTGGCTCTGTGGTGGCTGAAATGGTGCCTCGTTCAGCAGATGTGGGCTATCTGGTGACTAAAGTGGTGGCTGTTGATGTGGACTCTGGACAGAATGCCTGGCTGTCCTATAAACTGCAGAAAGCCACAGACAGGGCGCTGTTTGAAGTGGGCTTACAGAATGGAGAAATAAGAACTATCCGCCAAGTGACTGATAAAGATGCTGTCAAACAAAGACTGAGTGTTATAGTGGAGGACAACGGGCAGCCCTCTCGTTCAGCTACAGTCATTGTTAACGTGGCGGTGGCGGACAGCTTCCCTGAAGTGCTGTCTGAGTTCACTGACTTTGCACACGACAAGGAGTACAATGACAACCTGACTTTTTACTTAGTCTTGGCTTTGGCTGTAGTTTCCTTCCTCTTCATCACGTGTTTGGTGGTTATTATATCAGTGAAAATCTACAGATGGAGACAGTCTCGCATCCTGTATCACTCCAGTCTCCCTGTCATTCCATATTATCCACCACGTTACTCAGACACTTTGGGGACAGGGACTCTCCAACACGTGTACAATTACGAGGTGTGCAGGACGACAGACTCCAGAAAGAGTGACTGTAAGTTCGGCAGAGCCGGTAGTCAGAACGTGCTGATAATGGACCCCAGTTCTACAGGGACGATGCAGCGGCTACAGAGTGACAAGAGCATCCTGGATGAACCTGACTCTCCTCTAGAGGTTAGTTTAATATTGTAGCCTCGTGTTTGTGCCGTCATGTTCTTTCAGTGTTTAGTTGCATTGTTAGAAAATTGTTGAACGCTATTTCCGCAGTTTCAGAACCATGGACAGCTTTCCATTACCTACAGTATCATTCAGTGATAGATTGTTACAGTATTCCACATGCACTTTCCTGTGACTTAGTTGCATTGTATGTTAAAGCAGACTGCTATTTGTTTTTAAGGGTTAAACTGTTTAACCATATACGTACAGACCGCTTTAATAGCACACCTTGTTTGGCTTTATGTAACAAATAATGGGGTACGGCATGTTTGAACTCCCATTTCTATCCATTACCTACCTGTTTCACTTAATAGTTCTATCGAACTTAATTTCTACTTTAAATGTTTTATTGATCCTTTTTGTCGGTAATCTTGCGTTGAGTCAGTCATCTGGCTTTTGGATGAGTTTTGGTTAGGGTTTTTAAATCAATATCTTATGAACTATTTAGGTATTTAGATAATTTTATGTTAATGCATTCTGAGCATACAACCCAAGTATTTACTGACTTATTGTTAAACACATTGATTCATAAAGACAACGAATGTATTTTAACATCAGTTCACGCTTTATTTTCTTAGGTTGAATTTAGCAATATTTTTATCTGCGTTTAAGGACTTGTGACAATCCGTCCTGTTGGCCGGTTTTAGCCTCGTTATCAGTTCAGGACCTCGGACAGTGACTTTTGTAGACTCAGCTCTTTTTCTTCTCCATTTTCCTTTTGTATCACTTCAATCTTTTAGTAGTACTTTCCTTATTATTTTCTAAATTATTTGAGTTTTTTCTCTTTGTGCTTGTAGTCACATGTGGGTCATGTTTTATAAACACATTATTATGGCTGAAGATAAAAGCAATAGTAAGAGAACACAATCTTTGTTGAAGTGTCGACTTACTTTTGCGCAGATTATAGTAGTATTTATACGGCTTTTGTTACCTCATTTCAAGATATACTTGTATAACAGTAAGCTTCTGGACAGATAAGCTCATGTTGGTTGTCTGCAGTTTTGTATTATGAACTCTTAGGGCCGCTGTTGACCAGAGTGTGCACGGCTGAGGGTAGGTTTGTAGCAGCACCTCCCCTGTAACATCACCATAATGAAGAGAGAACACGACGGGAAAGGACGCACTTTCGGGATATATGAAATATCTGATAATCGACACGAAGATATCCGAGACAGATCTTTTCACTGTGTGGATTATACAGCTGGGAGATTGATGTTTGAAACTGGAATGGATTTCAGTTTATGGGATATATAACCGGACTGTGGAAGCTTTGCTGAGAACACACTCGGGTAGAACAATGAAAGGACAGGCGCTGTTGTTCATCTCTCTCCTTTCGCTCGGCTCCGTACTTGGGCAGGTCAGTTACACAATACCGGAGGAAATGTCGAAAGGCTCTTTGGTCGGTAATATAGCACAAGATTTAGGTTTAGAAACCAAACGATTAACTGCTGGTAAAGCTCGAATTTTTACCGGAGACAGCGACGAGTACATCGAGCTGAACAGAGAAAGAGGAGTCCTCCTTGTTAAAGAGAGGATCGACAGAGAGGCGCTCTGCAGACAGACGACGCCTTGTGCTTTACATTTTCAGATTATTTTGGAGAATCCTATGGAGTTTTACAGTGTGACAGTCCAGATCACAGATATTAATGATAATGCACCAACGTTTGAGGAAGGAGAAATTGAATTCAAAATCAGTGAGTCAGCAGTGATCGGTGCAAAATTTGAGCTGGAAAGAGCTGAGGATCATGATGTTGGAAATAATGATCTTCAAACATACGAATTAAAACCAACAGATAATTTTGCTCTTAAAGTCCACAGTAACGCTGATGGTCATAAAAATGTTGAGATGGTGTTACAGAAGCCTTTAGACAGAGAGAAACAGGAGCAGATCTCTCTCGTGTTGACGGCTGTAGATGGAGGAGAGCCGCAGATGTCAGGAACAATGCTGATTGTTATTACAGTTTTAGACGTCAATGATAATGCCCCCGTTTTTACACAGCCAACATACAAAGCTACAGTTACTGAGAACTCACCTAAAGGAACAGTTGTTGCCACTGTTACAGCCTCAGATGCAGATCAAGGTTCTAATGGTAAAATCATATATTCAATCACAAATACATTCGATGACGTCAGGAAAGTGTTTAAGATAAACAAGGACAGTGGTGAAGTTACTTTGATTGGCAATATTGACTTTGAGGAGTCGCGAAATTTTCGAATAAATGTACGTGCTAGTGACGACGGAGGACTCACAGATTCTTGTAAGTTAATTGTCGATGTTCAAGATGTAAATGACAACACGCCTGAAATTAAGATAATGTCAAAGTCAAATGTGATATCAGAGGATGCCAAACTCAATACAGTGGTTACAATGATAAATATAGAGGACAAGGACACTGGAGAAAACGGTAAAGTGCAATGTTTTATCAGCGACAATGTGCCATTCATTTTAAAAACATCAACAAATAATTTCTATAGTTTAGTGACAGACAGTGATCTGGACAGAGAGAGATCCTCTGAGTATAATATAACAGTGACGTGTTCTGATGAGGGAGTGCCCTCCCTCTCCAGCAGCGTCACTCTCACCTTACAGATCTCTGATGTGAATGATAACGCGCCTGTCTTTGAGAGGAGCTCATATGAGGCCTACATTGTAGAAAACAACACACCAGGCCTCTCTATATTCACAGTGAAAGCCAGAGACGCTGACTGGAACCAGAATGCCCGTGTTTCTTACATACTGGAGGACTCCTCTGTTAACGGAGTGCCAGTCTCCTCATATGTGTCCGTCAGTGCTGATAGTGGAGTCATCCATGCAGTGCGCTCTTTTGACTACGAGCAGATCAAAGACTTCCACTTCCGCGTCAAAGCGCAGGATGGAGGCTCCCCTCCACTCAGTAGCAACGTGAGTGTGAAAATACTGATCCAGGACCAGAACGACAACCCTCCTCAGGTGCTGTACCCAGTGCAGACTGGTGGCTCTGTGGTGGCTGAAATGGTGCCTCGTTCAGCAGATGTGGGCTATCTGGTGACTAAAGTGGTGGCTGTTGATGTGGACTCTGGACAGAATGCCTGGCTGTCCTATAAACTGCAGAAAGCCACAGACAGGGCGCTGTTTGAAGTGGGCTTACAGAATGGAGAAATAAGAACTATCCGCCAAGTGACTGATAAAGATGCTGTCAAACAAAGACTGAGTGTTATAGTGGAGGACAACGGGCAGCCCTCTCGTTCAGCTACAGTCATTGTTAACGTGGCGGTGGCGGACAGCTTCCCTGAAGTGCTGTCTGAGTTCACTGACTTTGCACACGACAAGGAGTACAATGACAACCTGACTTTTTACTTAGTCTTGGCTTTGGCTGTAGTTTCCTTCCTCTTCATCACGTGTTTGGTGGTTATTATATCAGTGAAAATCTACAGATGGAGACAGTCTCGCATCCTGTATCACTCCAGTCTCCCTGTCATTCCATATTATCCACCACGTTACTCAGACACTTTGGGGACAGGGACTCTCCAACACGTGTACAATTACGAGGTGTGCAGGACGACAGACTCCAGAAAGAGTGACTGTAAGTTCGGCAGAGCCGGTAGTCAGAACGTGCTGATAATGGACCCCAGTTCTACAGGGACGATGCAGCGGCTACAGAGTGACAAGAGCATCCTGGATGAACCTGACTCTCCTCTAGAGGTTAGTTTAATATTGTAGCCTCGTGTTTGTGCCGTCATGTTCTTTCAGTGTTTAGTTGCATTGTTAGAAAATTGTTGAACGCTATTTCCGCAGTTTCAGAACCATGGACAGCTTTCCATTACCTACAGTATCATTCAGTGATAGATTGTTACAGTATTCCACATGCACTTTCCTGTGACTTAGTTGCATTGTATGTTAAAGCAGACTGCTATTTGTTTTTAAGGGTTAAACTGTTTAACCATATACGTACAGACCGCTTTAATAGCACACCTTGTTTGGCTTTATGTAACAAATAATGGGGTACGGCATGTTTGAACTCCCATTTCTATCCATTACCTACCTGTTTCACTTAATAGTTCTATCGAACTTAATTTCTACTTTAAATGTTTTATTGATCCTTTTTGTCGGTAATCTTGCGTTGAGTCAGTCATCTGGCTTTTGGATGAGTTTTGGTTAGGGTTTTTAAATCAATATCTTATGAACTATTTAGGTATTTAGATAATTTTATGTTAATGCATTCTGAGCATACAACCCAAGTATTTACTGACTTATTGTTAAACACATTGATTCATAAAGACAACGAATGTATTTTAACATCAGTTCACGCTTTATTTTCTTAGGTTGAATTTAGCAATATTTTTATCTGCGTTTAAGGACTTGTGACAATCCGTCCTGTTGGCCGGTTTTAGCCTCGTTATCAGTTCAGGACCTCGGACAGTGACTTTTGTAGACTCAGCTCTTTTTCTTCTCCATTTTCCTTTTGTATCACTTCAATCTTTTAGTAGTACTTTCCTTATTATTTTCTAAATTATTTGAGTTTTTTCTCTTTGTGCTTGTAGTCACATGTGGGTCATGTTTTATAAACACATTATTATGGCTGAAGATAAAAGCAATAGTAAGAGAACACAATCTTTGTTGAAGTGTCGACTTACTTTTGCGCAGATTATAGTAGTATTTATACGGCTTTTGTTACCTCATTTCAAGATATACTTGTATAACAGTAAGCTTCTGGACAGATAAGCTCATGTTGGTTGTCTGCAGTTTTGTATTATGAACTCTTAGGGCCGCTGTTGACCAGAGTGTGCACGGCTGAGGGTAGGTTTGTAGCAGCACCTCCCCTGTAACATCACCATAATGAAGAGAGAACACGACGGGAAAGGACGCACTTTCGGGATATATGAAATATCTGATAATCGACACGAAGATATCCGAGACAGATCTTTTCACTGTGTGGATTATACAGCTGGGAGATTGATGTTTGAAACTGGAATGGATTTCAGTTTATGGGATATATAACCGGACTGTGGAAGCTTTGCTGAGAACACACTCGGGTAGAACAATGAAAGGACAGGCGCTGTTGTTCATCTCTCTCCTTTCGCTCGGCTCCGTACTTGGGCAGGTCAGTTACACAATACCGGAGGAAATGTCGAAAGGCTCTTTGGTCGGTAATATAGCACAAGATTTAGGTTTAGAAACCAAACGATTAACTGCTGGTAAAGCTCGAATTTTTACCGGAGACAGCGACGAGTACATCGAGCTGAACAGAGAAAGAGGAGTCCTCCTTGTTAAAGAGAGGATCGACAGAGAGGCGCTCTGCAGACAGACGACGCCTTGTGCTTTACATTTTCAGATTATTTTGGAGAATCCTATGGAGTTTTACAGTGTGACAGTCCAGATCACAGATATTAATGATAACGCACCAACCTTTGAAAAAAGCGAAATGAAATTCAAAATTAGTGAGTCAGCAGTGATCGGGGCAAAATTTGTACTTGAAAGAGCCAATGATCTTGATGTTGGAAATAATGATCTTCAAAGTTACGAATTAAAACCAACAGATAATTTTGCTCTGAAACTCCACAGTAACGCTAATGGCCATAAAAATGTTGAGATGGTGTTACAGAAGCCTTTAGACAGAGAGAAACAGGAGCAGATCTCTCTCGTGTTGACGGCTGTAGATGGAGGAGAGCCGCAGATGTCAGGAACAATGCTGATTGTTATTACAGTTTTAGACGCTAATGATAATGCCCCCGTTTTTACACAACCAACATACAAAGCTACAGTTACTGAGAACTCACCTAAAGGAACAGTTGTTGCCACTGTTACAGCTTCAGATGCGGATCAGGGTTCAAACGGTAAAATAACTTATTCAATCACAAATACATTCGATGATGTAAGGAGAGTGTTTAAGATAAACGAGGACAATGGCGAAGTTACATTGATTGGAACTATTGATTTTGAGGATTCACGAAATTTTCAAATAAATGTTCTTGCTAGTGACGACGGAGGCCTCACAGATTCTTGTAAATTAATTGTCGATGTTCTCGATGTAAATGACAACAAACCTGAAATAAAGATAATGTCGAAGTCAACTGTGATATCAGAAGATGCCAAAGTCCATACAGTGGTTACAATGATAAATATTGAGGACAAGGACACTGGAGAAAACGGTAAAGTGCAATGTTATATTAGCGACAGTGTACCGTTCATTTTAAAAACCTCAACAAATAATTTCTATAGTTTAGTGACAGACAGTGATCTGGACAGAGAGAGATCCTCTGAGTATAATATAACAGTGACGTGTTCTGATGAGGGAGTGCCCTCCCTCTCCAGCAGCGTCACTCTCACCTTACAGATCTCTGATGTGAATGATAACGCGCCTGTCTTTGAGAGGAGCTCATATGAGGCCTACATTGTAGAAAACAACACACCAGGCCTCTCTATATTCACAGTGAAAGCCAGAGACGCTGACTGGAACCAGAATGCCCGTGTTTCTTACATACTGGAGGACTCCTCTGTTAACGGAGTGCCAGTCTCCTCATATGTGTC